TTGATGAGCTTCAAGATGTTGTCACCTGCAACAGTCTTGAAGGAGTTCACAGAGAAGCTTAGCACTTGTTGGCCCTTTTGCCTTCACTCTGCGTTCCAGCTCACCCCAAACCATCTGGATTGGGTTCTGGTCCGGTGATTGTGGAGGCCAGGTCATCTGGTGCAGCACCCTATCACTCTTTCTTGGTCAAATAGCCCTTACACAGCCTGGAGGTGTGTTTGGGTTCATTGTCCTGTTGAAAAATAAATGATGGTCCAACTAAACGCAAACCGGATGGAATAGCATGCCGCTGTAAGATGCTGTGGTAGCCATGCTGGTTCACGATACCTTCAATTTTTAATATATCCACAACAGTGTCACCAGCAAAGCACCCCCGCACCATCACACCTCCTCCTCCATGCTTCATGGTGGGAACCAGGCATGTAGAGTCCATCCGTTCACCTTTTCTGTGTCGCACAAAGACACGATGGTTGGAGCCAAAGATCTCAAATTTGGACTCATCAGACAAAAGCACAGATTTCCACTGGTCTAATGTCCATTCCTTGTGTTCTTTAGCCCAAGCAAGTCTCTTCTGCTTGTTGCCTGTCCTTAGCAGTGGTTTCCTAGCAGCTATTTTACCATGAAGGTCTGATGCACACAGCCTCCTCTTAACAGTTATTCTCGAGATGTGTCTGCTGCTAGAACCCTGTGTGGCTCTGAGCTGCTGTTAACCTGCGATTTCTGAGGCTGGTGATTCGCATGAACTTATCCTCCGCAGCTGAGGGGACTCTTGGTCTTCCTTTCCTGGGGCGGTCCTCATGTGAGCCAGTTTCTTTGTAGCGCTTGATGGTTTTTTCAACTGTACTTCAGGACACTTTTTCGGACAGACTTTCTTAAAGTAATGATGGCCACCCGTTTTTATTTACTTAGAATTTGTATTAAGGCAAGAAAAAGCAGCTAACAGTCTATTCAGTAGGACTATCAGCTGTGTATCGACCTGACTTCTGCACAACACAACTGATGGTCCCAACCACATTTATAAGGCAAGAAATTCCACTTATTAAACCTGACAGGGGACACCTGTGAAGTGAAAACCATTTCAGATGACTACTTCTTAAAGCTCATCTAGAGAATTCCAAGAGTGCACAAAGCAGTAATCAAAGCAAAACGTGGCTACTTTGAAGAACCTAAAATATAAGACATATTTTCAGTTGTTTCACACCGTTTTGTTAAGTATATATTTCCACATATGTTATTTCATAGTTCTGATGCCTTCAATGTGAATCTACAATTTTCATAGTCATGCAAATAAAGAAGACTCTTTGAATTAGAAGATGTGTCCAAACCTTTGGTCTGTATTATATATAGGGTAGAGGTGAGTATTGGCCACGGTGTTCCGATACACATCACTATATTGCAATGTCATGATATATAATGAGATTCTACCCAGCTAATAACAAATTTAAATGCAGGGATAAAAGGCAAGTGCTTGATCATTGATCATTCAGAGGAAAAGTTGAGTCAAAAAGGATTTGCTACAAAACAAGTTCAACAAGTTTCTTTTTCAGTGAAACTACTGTGACATCTCAAATTAGTTATAACAACATAATGATGGCATTTTGACCACTGCAAGTGAGAACCTTAAATATAAAATACCCTGAGGTACTGGCTGCAAAAAATTTGGAAAACATTTTTTTTTAAATCAATATTAAGATCTCAAAGATTGATATTATATTGGGTGCCAGAAAATCGCAATATATTGCCAAACTGATATTTTTTTTTCGCCCGCACCCTAATATAGGGGAGTTTGTTTCCTGTTTTACTGGGTCCAACTCAGCTAGGCGCTTTTATATTTATATGTATCGTTTCATGCTATTATTTTTATCAAGTTTTTTGTGGTTTTTAAGTTGTCTTTTTAGAAGCCAGGCATTGAGCCTGCAAAGTAGCGTTTCATGGTATTTTAGTATAATACAGTTTATGTTACATTTCTTTTTTCTAAAAATATTACACATGAAAAATATGTAAAACTGGAAAATTATAGGGTGTCAAGATACTAAAATATCAAGCTGAGTTTGATATCCAGGAAAATATTCTATACTTTATAAATCCAGTCAGAAAATGCACCCTCATTTCAGTCAAGAGTAAATATTTTAGATGAGGAAAGGTTAGAGATATTTTTATGTTTTGAACTAAATGGACCAAGTTAGTCTTTCTCTCTTGAATAACCAGCAAAGCATCAGCTGTATTAATATTTAGTTTTTACCTCCTGCTTTTTCCATTCTACATTTCAGGAGCTTTTTATATTTGATTTGTCTTTTTTTTCTATCACATCAACATTCAGCTCCTTCTAAAGCAGCTCTTTCTCTTACTTCATTTATTTCCTCCCGATCACTTTCCACTTCTCCACCACTCCCCTCCTCCTCCTCCTTCCTTTCCTCTTCTCCTCCTGGCCATGCTACACTGCACAGTGCATTAATAGTGGTATGAAAAATTCCCAGCTGAGATGTGGTGGGATCGTCGATGCCAATGACTCAGAACTGGAGAAGCAGAGAGTTAAAAGGCTTGGACTCCTTACAGAAGCTGTTCCACTCCACTGATGTTGTCTTGCTGACAAGGAGGCATGGCACTTTGGCTGAATGTTAAGCTGAATGTTTTTTATTGTAATCACTGATATTCTGACAGTGCAATAATTGCAGCCCCTCACCATGGTGTACTTTGAAGATATTATTTAGATTTTTCAGGTTAAAGATTCATGCTAATTGGTGTTATTCAGTAGATATATTAAACATGTACATATGTCAGATTTGCTCTGATTTTGGAGTCTGGCAATATCAAAAAGCACTCCCACAAACTGCGTCACTTCAGACCGCTCTGTCAATCAATAACCTGACATTTTGTTTAATAACACGGTGCCTTTTGGCTCATCAACCTCATATGCATCCCTTACCATCAGGTGCTGCTGATTCTCACTCACTGCCCTGATTGTTGGAAACTGCCAGATGACACTTTCCCTACTCTTAGGATGCCAGTGCTTATGCTCTCAGGTCCCTAATGTAGATCTTGTTGCTTTAAACATTTACTCGACTTTTTCCCTTATTTACCAGAATTTATTAATGGTTTCTTTGTAGGAAAACATTTGTGAATTTACCAAGACTGCAATAAAAAAAAAACAAAAAAAAAAAACTTTTATTTTTTATTTTTTGGCTACATAATGTTGTTTTTCATTTTGTTAATGCTGCTGTTCTGGATGCCTAATTGTGATTCTTTTAAAAAATGTTCATGAAATCTGTTTTTTTTTTGTTTTTTTTTTGTGGTTCTTTTTACTAAATAAACCTGACCTGCATGGGTATAAGAAGAATAGAGATGTCACACAACAAATTGTTTATGGAAGTAATGATGAATGTGACTGTCACTAGTAGAGATGTGCCGATCAGGATTTTTGGGAGAAACAAATAGTTCTCGCCTCACAAGATAATGGACAGTATTTTTTAGGGGTTTATAGTTAATCCCAATTAATACCAAACCTGCAGGATCGGTCGAAAACTGTATTGTCTTTTATCTCGTGTAAATGCAGCTATTGACAACAGATGATCCTGGAGCAAAGGAGAGCAATTTGACTCTCTGTTGCCATGCCAATCTATCTTTGGTTTCAGGTGGCAATTGATGGTTAGTCAATATTTATAGACCCATAACAGCATGTGCACGTTTTCTCTATCATGTCAACTTTTATGTCTCTGTCTTCTCCATCAGTCTGGACTCCATCTTGCTTATCTTTCTTTCCAGCTATCATTCCAATACCCCACCGCTTCCTGTAAGCCTTTATGACTCCGCCTAGCTCTCCAGTGTTAATGTCATCTTTAAATCTGATGGAAACTGAAAAATATCACAAACCCACTATCGGTGGGTTATATCCAAGTTTCCCCAGCTGTGGTTTTACAGTGGTAACGTTCAACAAATCCCAAAAACATGTTTTTTATTTGCCATTAGTGACTTTTAATGAGAGTAAGAAGTCTACTGAGAACACAGTACGATGTATTTTTTTTATCCTCTCGACTAAAATTACCACGCTTGTTGCATTAAACCTTACAAAACAAGCTTCAGTGTCTTTTAGGGGAGTTTAGTAGGGCGTCACTGTGAAGTGGAGATAAATGTTAATAGTTCTGGGTCTTTGCTGTTAAGAATCAGAAAACTCTGGCATGTCTTGAGTACTTCTTTAAATCCCCTAAGATTGATGGTGTTTTAAGACAGCAGAAATCTACTCTCAACCCCCATTGGCTCAACTCTTTGGTAAGATTTTCTTTTTCTTTCAAATGCAGGTCTTTTAGCTGAAAATCTTAAAGATGAATACTAACTGCCATTCATATCTCTACGGATTCTGTCTTCCAAAAAAACAAACTAAATAATCCCTTTAACTTTCTCAGGACTTAAAGGACTTTTCTTTATCCAACCGTAGCACTGATTGAGCACAGCTTATTGTCAGAACAGGGCTCTGGGGTAAAAGAGCAAAACAAGGTTTTTGCTTATTAATCACCCTATATTATCCTGTCTGCTTACCATCCTGCATGTGAGAAAGAACCTCATAACAGGGGCTAATAATCACACAATATTCTACAAGCCTTTTTTATTAGCAGCCTAAATCCTCTTCATAGAAGCCTATTGGATGATTAAATAATGTATTTTATACAAGGATTTGCAATTAACTAAAGAGCTTTTAGGGATTCTTGCTCAAGGGATGTACTGTTCTGATATTTATGCAAAGAAGGATCTGCTTCACATATGGTTGTGCTGAGCTTAATTGGACAATTCAGACTGATGGTCGCATAACAGGGAAAAGACTCTATGAGATGTCGGTTTTTATTAAGCTATCCTAAGAAGTCCAATTTGTGCACAATTCACCCACAATACCTTGTGTTTCTCTTCCTTTACATAAATCCTTAATTTATCATTTGTAGCCGTTTGCCAAATTTCCTCTAGTTGGTTTCTGAATCTTAAGCCTTGTGCTTTTGCTCCTCTTCTTTCAGGACGAGCCCTCATGAGACTAACGGACAGAAAGCTGGAGAGAATGGGGATCATACATGAAGCCCAGAGGCAGCACATCCTGCAGCAAGTCCTGCAGCTTCGTGTTCGTGAGGAAGTCAGGACTCTTCAGCTACTCACGCAAGGTAAAGTTTTCAGCCCCTAAATATTGCATCAGGACATTTCCCTGCACTATACAGCCTGTTCTCCTCGCTTAGAGTTATTTTACAGCACACTTTTGCAGAATTATCAATAACAATCGTTCTAATAAATATACCAGTCATTCATTATTCACAAGCCATCTGTTGTCATGGCAATTTTTGCATATTTCAAAACCCGGAGGAAGTGATGAATCAGAAAATTATGTAACAACAGAGCCATGCAGAAACCTTTTTTTTCTGCTGTTTTGTTCACAAACTAGAGTCCTAAAGATAATGGTTCGTGGGTACAGTTTTATAGCTCAAGAAAAAAAATATATAATTATTTACTTTACTTGTGATAAGCTCTTATAGCTGCAGGTCCCAGCAGCGCTGACTCTAAAATTGACAGTTTCTCATGTTACAAGCAGAGATAGTACCTGACTATGCTGATATCTGCTGAGATGAGCTCCAAGGTCATTTCAGATGGTTGGTCCAGATAGATTTAATGGATGCAGATAATGAATACACAAGGTTTTGCAGTTCAAGGCATTAGGTTGTTCTACAGTATATTCGAGTTTGGAAAGATACGAGAACTGTGCTGACGGGAACGGTTTTCTTTTATCAAATGTATGCAGAATAGAATAGAATAAGAAAAATGAAGACATGAAAATCCATGTCTATGTAATATTATGTTTACTTATTTTTTGTCTGTTGGGAAAGCATTCCTAACAAGCAAGTTTTGCACAACAAAATGAAGATTTTTTTAGAGACACATCTCTAACTTTTAAGATATTTTACTTTATTTACCAGCTACAGGGTAGAATAATGATTTGAAGTTTCAGAGTAAGAAAAAGATACATTTTTTATTAGGTTTTTCTAAAGTTTCCACATAATTCCGCAGGGAATATTTCATGCAGCTGTGCTTCACAGTCATGTTTTCATGGCTGGTTTTTGATCTTATATTATAGTACGCTTTACCTATCTTGCAATAACCCTAGGTTCCACGAGGAGTGGAAGTGGCGCATTCACATAACAGTGCGGCTCCTCAGGGCTGTCGTGGTTGATCGCTGCAATTCTCGTCAGTCAGAGTGGAGTTTTCTGAAGCATCCCAGAAGCACCGTACACTACTATAGCAGGGGTGATGCAATCCGGACATTATCAGAGTCTAGCTGTATAGTAAAGCTCACCTTTGAAAATGCTCCTGGTGGAACATGGTGTCTGTGCAAAGCAGTAGTGCAGCTGCGGTGCGTCTGCGTCATTTCATCTTGCAGTGGAACCCAGGGGTTCCTCTATCGAAAGCCCGGGAAATTTTTACAGGTAGTCATTTTGAAAACATTCCAGCTTATAGTCTCCAATTTTTGGTTCAAAAATATCTGGTCAAAGCTTTCTTTAGAGATAAATTAGCTGTAAGAATACACCAACATTAACAGAATGAGGTTTCCTATCCAGCCATGATTACATATGGAAAAGCATGTTGCATGGGTGTGATTGACTAATCCTCCACATCTTTGACAGTTATAGTTTATTGTGCTTTTGCTCAGAATAGATAATGGGATCAAAGTGTAAAATTCACATTAATCTTCTGCAAAGTGACAACTTTGCATTTCTTTGCTGCAATTGAAAACTAAATTTTGGTGTTATTTTTTTTGTATTTGTGAATCTGCCGAGTGATTTAGAAACAAGTCACTTTCTGGTCACTCAACAACATGCTACCACCAAGTCTGCTAGTTATTAACTGAACTAACCTGAAAGTAGATCAAGCTACAGTATCGTTCCACTTTCAAGCATCTGTAGCTGGACAGCAAAGTGCATCTTAACATTAAATAAGGTTATTATTAGATCAATGCTGCGATACTTGAGTCACATTTTTGTTAATCCTCTATGGTGTTATCTTCACTAGAGCTTTTTCACAGGAGGAGCCACATCGAAAATCTTAAGACGGCACATCAAAACCAGAAAAAAATCACTGCCATTGAAAAATGGCTGTGATTTTCTTTTTCTTTTTTAATTTTTATCAAGTGGGAACAATTTTCAAGATTATTTTTCTCACTATTAAATTAAAACAGTATAAGGATGGCAAACTGTACCTATCCATTAATGCTAATGTCACTTTTAATCAGAAAGGGCTGGTGCGTTTACTGCCGCATAAACAAATCTGTTTCTGCTATGGGGGGGTTTGCGGGAGGAGCCACAGCCACCTCTCTCCCCCTGAGGTCCATTAGGTGTTGCACATGTGAGGAACACATGTTGTATAAGAGCCTTGGTGCTCATTCAGCAGTGATTTGACACAGGAACAGAAGGCAAAGTACTTAATTTAATGGATTAGTTAAATTAGTTGTGCTTTCATCTTTATCCTGTCTATATCTGGGTTAGGCATTCCCACTACTGGTACTTTATAGGGGTCAGATCAGGTGTAACTTTTTGCCTCACTCTATCATAAGATCTCTCTATGTATTAGTGAGTGAAAGTTTTTATCCAATACCTCACCATGATTTTTTTAAAAACCACAAACTTTCGGGCAGTCGATGCCAGGAATACAGATACCTCCTCCTCCCTTTCACTTTGTTTTCCACCTGTAGTTTCAGACAGAGGAAGCACGATCAATACAGCCTCCAAATATGCACAGCCACTGTTTACAATTTAGGCACGTACAACAGCAGCAGTAATCCATTATGTTAATTCAATTCAATTCTTTTGATGAGCCATTTTGAATTCATCTATAGCCAAACTAAAAGCTGAGATGCCAAAGTTGAATCAGTGGCAACAATGCTAATAATGTTTCCAGTGAATCAAGTAGCGTCTGTTCATTTTCATTTTAGCTGGAGAACATTTATTTTGAATTTTATGAATTTTTACTTCCTGTTATACTAGAGCATTTTTTGTTTCACCCCAAGTTCATCTTTCTTTTACTTTATTCTTTCCCTAACTAGTTGTTTTATTTGATCTGTTTTACTTTGATTCATTAGTCTTATTATTTTTTTTTTTTGCTGTTTTGATTTTACATGTATTTAAGATTTTAAGGAGATCTTTGTGGGTTTAAGATACCGTTCAATTGGCATTGGCTGATTTTTTTTAATTTTGTACAGTTATGCTTCTGATATCTATCTATTCTTATTAAACAACACTTAATACATTTAAATATTTTAATTTATTTTAATTACATTTTTCAACCAATTCCAAACACTGCTGGAGATTTCTGTTCAAAGTGGAATTTTAATCATCTCCAAATTAAAGCATCTTTTTCATAATACACAAAAAATGTTAATTTGTGTATTAGACAGTTAGGGGCCTAATCCAGTCTCTGTGGGACTCCAAATATAACGTTAAAGAACTCTAATAAGTATTCTCCTGCCTAGAAAGGCCTGCTCTTAAGTTGGCTTTATACCCTGTTCAAAACTGCCTCTAAATCAGAGATTTTTTTAATTCCTCATATAATATTTTAGAGAAGCTTACAATATTTAACGACTTATTTAATTTTAAACTGCCTTCTAAATACCTATTTGATCTGTGATTTTTTTCCAGTTAGCCAAATACATATGAAATTCCTTAAAATTCATAAAGTAAGAGAAGTGCCCAGAAAGACATTATATCCTTCCTTATAGTGTTTTGGGGTAAAGGGTTAGTGGGTGAGGTGGAAAGATTATGGCATAAAATTAGCTGCTTTGCTACATACTGTAAATACATACTGATTAGTCCATCCTCTAATTCATTTAAAAAAAAAGACAGAAAACACTTTGTGACAGAAAACAATATTTCCAACTTTTGTTGTTTTTCTTGGCCTCATACAATAAAATCCTCCGTTTACATCATGTAGTACACTTCATGCTCTCCTTATTTCCTCTTTTCTACCCTGTGATTCTCAGCCTGCCCCGTTTCTCACTCAGCAGATCCAGAAGCTCTCCTTTGCCAACCAGCAGCAGCAGCCGCCGCCTGCATCATCGCTGCTGTTCTTTCACACCCATCTGCACCGAGTCTAAGAAATCAGGGCTGCCGCAGGGGCAGAGTAACAAATTCCAGGGTTCCAGTTTCTTGGAAAACATTTTGGAGTGAATTAAACTAGGCTGTCTGTTTTAGTCCCTCAGCAAGGTGATGAGAAAAAAAAACTGTAAGAAGGGACAAGAGAGGTTATTTAGTTGAGTGATGACACTTGCTAAAGGCTACCCTCAGCATCCTAAGACATTCTTCCCTTTGTTCTTTTTTTTTGTTTCATCCTCTCCTCTTCATCTTCTTCCTTCTGTATTGATGATATGAGAACAAACAGCTCAGCCGTCTCAGCAGGATTCCTTTTAGACAGTATCTCAGCCTCTGGGAGAGGGACGAAGAAGATGGAAGTTTGTTGGAGTGAAAAATGTAAAATGGTGAATCAAAGAGAAAATCAAAGAGCATAATTTCAACATTTAGATTTCTGTACAAATAGGTCACAGTTAAGAACAAGCATGTGGAGAACCAAACGAACATTAAGCTGTTTTTTAGGAATGTGTGAAATTGGTTCTTATTTTGCATGTTTCAATGTTAAGTAAAAATGTGTCTAAATTTGGAGAGAGAAAAAAAAACACGAAGAGAAGATTCTTTCCTTTTGCTTTTTACAAAGAGCATGGGAAATTGGAAGATGACATGTTGAAGTCAGAGGCTCAAAGGCACACTTTAGTTGTTCCTAAAAAGAGATTTAGCTGTACCCAGTGGAGGCAGAGAGAGACACAGGAAGTGAGAGAGTCTTAACGAGGGAATGGTGGCGATGTCAACGAGTTCATAAAAAAATATCATCAAGAATTTTACAATTGGTGAGAAATAAAATGCTTATTGACAAATAAAAGCAGAGAGTGTAAAGATCTTAGATGGAAAACAAACATAGCTCTGTTTTTGTTTTGTTTTTTCGTAGATGGATTATCCTTTTACTGTCATTTAGGTTATTAGTCTACAGATTTTAACTTAAAAGCACAACAACTTGGATCTGTTTTCTATTTTATCGGTCATTGATTGTAACATAATTAAACTGCTGTATTGCC